CCATCTCCCCACACGGAGACTCTGTCCCCACAAAGCACGGACTCCCCACCCCCTGCCCCAGCCCCGGCTCCCACCCTCTCCTCTCTGTGTGTGTGTTCGGGACTCCTCCGGGGACCTCCTGGGAGTGGGGTCCTGCGGGATGTGTCCTTCTGGGTCTGGCTCCTCTCACTGAGCCCAGTGTCCTCGGGGTCCCTCCACGTCATGGCAGGTGTCGGATGTCCTTCCTTTTTCAGGCCGAGTAATATTCCAGTATATGAATGAGCCGCATCTTGTTTATCCATTCCTTTGTTGATGGACATTTGGGTCGCGTCTACATTTTAGCGGTTGTGAAAAATGCTGCTGTGAATATGGGTGTTGCTTTGCTTTTTAAAAAATTATGTCAGGCGCCTGGGTGGCTCAGTTGGTTAAGCGACTGCCTTCGGCTCAGATCGTGATCCCGGAGTCCCGGGATCGAGTCCCACATCGGGCTCCCTGCTCGGCAGGGAGTCTGCTTCTCCCTCTGACCCTCTTCCCTCTCGTGCTTCTCTATCTTTCATTCTCTCTCTCTCAAATAAATAAATAAAATCTTTAAATATATATAAATAAATAAAAATGTATGTCATCCACGTACCAAAACATTCACTCTTTAAAGTGTATGATTCAGTGGTTTTCAGTGTACTCAAAAGTTGTACAACTATCACCACAATCTAATCTTGGAACATTTTTATCACCCCTAAAGGAAACGTGTCCCCATTAGCAATCACCCACACACACACTGCCCCACGAGCCCCCTTCCTGTCCGCGGACGTGTCACCCACGTGGACTCACACCCCGTGTGGCCTTCTGTGTCTGGTTCCCTCCCTGAGCGTCGTGGGCTCGGGGTCTGTCCCCGGGCTGATATCCAGTGTGTGGATGGACGCGTTGTGTGCATTCATCTATCAGGTGATGGACATTTGGACTGTTTTTAGTTTGGGGCTGTCATGAATAATGGTGCTATGGATGTGCACCTCCATGTTTCGGTGTAGACCAGATGTCATTTGTCTTGGGTACACACACGTTGCCAGGTTTAACTTTGGGAAGAAGTGCCGGCCTATCCCCCGTGGCAGTGGCATCATCGTGCTTTCCCACTAGTGGGACAGGAGGGCTCCAGTCTCTCCCCATCCTCACGAACATTTGCTATTGTCTGCCTTTTTGATTCAGCCCATACTAGCAGGGGTGAGGTGGTGTCTCATCGTGGTTTTGATTTGCATTTCCCTAATGACTAATGATGTTGAGCAACTTTTTTGTGTGTATGTTTTTTTTTTTTTTTTTTGGTATATCTTTTTTGGAGAGATGTCCATTAAAATCCTTTGCCCATTTCAAACAATTGGTTATTTTGTTTTTATTGCTAGTTTTAAAATTTCTTTACATATTCTGAGCAGCAGACCCTTATAGCTATGATTTGCAAATATTCTCTCTCCTTCCGTGGGTTTTTCTTTCACTTTCTTGATGGTATTCTCTGAAGCACAGAAGTTAAGAAATGTGACTTTATTTTAAATTTCATTATAAATAAAATATGCATCGTGGTGTCTGGCCAGCTCAGTCAGGAGAGCATGTGACTCTTGATCTCGGGATCGTGAGTTCAAGCCCCATGTTGGGGGTAGAGATGACTTAAAAAAAATTCATGATGCAAAATTCAAAAGATTAAAGACAGGGAACAGAAGGTCTCTGACCCTGCTCCCCATCCCCTCTGTTTCTCCACCCCAGAAGCAACCCCTGCTTAGGGTGACAAGAATTATCTGCTCAAAATATATAAATTTGCAGCCTCGCCAACGTAACTCGAATTCAGGTCCATCCATTCGCTCGCTGTGTGTCTTTGGCAAGTTATGTGCCTTCTCTGCGTCCCTGCACCATCATCCTGTCCATCAGGGATGATAATCCCTGCTACACAGAGGGACTAAAGTTGCATTCAAAGGTGGAATTCAGAAATCCAGAGCTGATGTTACTACTTACCCCGGAACAAATTTGTTCTGAGGCAAGTGCCAAATATTTGTTGATTTTCATGCTGTTTTATTGCAAAGATGGAGCTGGTCTTGACATACCCCGAGAACCCTTTTGCCGAGCAACTTATGAGGGTCTGCCGGTGACGTAAAAAATGCAGAGTGTGTGTGTGAACTTTTCATCTTTGAAATGTGGGTTTCATTGCTGCCCTGGCCAGGAACAGGAGCAGGGGTATGGCCCAAACAGTAGTAATAACATCAATATAATAACATCTAGCGTGTATGGAGGACTTCTCTCCTGCCCTACTGTGCTGTTTTATGTAGGGTACCTAGGTGGCTCGGTTGGTTAAGTGTCTGCCTTCGGCTCGAGTCATGATCTCAGGGTCCTGGGATCGAGCCCCATGTCGGGCTCTCTGCTCAGCGGGGAGTCTCCTTCTCTCTCTCTCTTTCTCTCTCTATCTCTGCCTCTCTCTCAAATAAATAATTTTTTTTAAAAAAAGAATGTTATATGTACCATCTATTGTCTCCCTTGTTAGTACCCTAGGAAGTCTCTATCATTATACTCTGCAATGGACCCTTGAGGATCAGACAAGTTAAGTAATCTGCCCAAGGTCACACAGTAACTCAATCTTTTATAACCTTATTAGCTTTTTTAAAAAGATTTATTTATTTATTTTATTTGCGAGAGAGAGAATGAGAGAGAGAGAGAGCACATGAGACGGGGGGAGGGTCAGAGGGAGAAGCAGACTCCCTGCCGAGCAGGGAGCCCGATGCGGGACTCGATCCAGGGACTCCAGGATCATGACCTGAGCTGAAGGCAGTCGCTTAACCAACTGAGCCACCCAGGCGCCCTAACCTTATTAGCTTTTAAAATAGTATCTACTTGGGTATTTGGGGGGGGTAGCGACGGAGGAATGGGGGTCAGGACAAAGCTTTGCCTCCCTCACTATTTTCATATCAGGGACAGGAGTGAGCATGGGAGGTAGGGGTCTGCCATCCTGGCATATCCTGAAGGACCCCCCCCCCCAGCCCTTCTGGCAGGATCCAGAGCCAGGTGAATGCTGCCTTTGACATCCTTGCTCATGGTCCCTCTCTGGGCCTCAGTTTGCTCATATATAAAATGGCCTGCTTCTTTTCAGGGCGTGTTGAGGATTAGATTCAATGCCAATCTTCTATATGCATTCCCGTCCCCTTCTGAATTAGGTTCTCAGCTGTAGAGAAAGGGTGCAGCCTATTTGAGACTAGGTGGTACAGGAAGGGAAACTGAGTACTGGCTGAGTGGGTGGAGCTTGGGGTGAGGTGGGGGGCGGTGAGACCATTGAGGAGTAAGGACAGAGCATTAGTTATCTGCCGGAGTCCAGGCACAACCCTGAGACCTGCAAAGTGTCTTTCTGCTTGGCCCTTCTAATCCCAAGGCTGATGGCAGGGTGGTTTAAGGAAGGAAGAAGGGCTTACGTCCCAGGCAGGGTCGTTAGAGCAAAGTCCCTGGGTTCCACCCTCACCCGGGACCTTCGTGGCCCCTCCCTCGGTCCCTTCCCACCTATTAGGGGCTGGTTTCAGGCTGCAAGTCCTGGGGCTGTCACTTCCCCTCTGGGGGCCTCCCGGGTTTCCCCTTGAAGCCAAATTATTATTACAAAAGCCGATTCAACCCGTTTGGGAGTTGAAAGGCGTCTTTAATATGTTGTGCGTAGAAGTAATAAAGTACAAGGGGCGGTGGGACGCTTTGAAGTCAGAGAAGGACAGACTGAGTCCACTTCACCCAAGTTTCCTGCCTGTAAGGTAATGGTGGTAATGATAATAGCAATAAATGAGTATAATGAGATTAGATGTTAGAATGGAGGTAAACAGGACCCCGGACAGAGCCAGCCACTCGAGAAGCGCTCAGTAAAAGGCAGCTATTAAGCAGGTGCCAGCCCTCTCCGTCCAAGGGAAGGAGGAAGGGGAAACTGAGGCCCAGAGACCCCCCACGCGGCGGGTCGCACCAGCCAGCCCTCCCCAGGCGCCTACTGTGTGCAGCGGGCAGCCGGCCGGGCCGGGTCGGGCTGTTCTCACCGCTCGTCCCCTCCTCCCCCTCCCCCGTCCCCCGCCGGACCTCTCCCACGACCGGGGAGGAAGTGGGAGAAATGGACGGGGAAAAAAGTTGGGTTGAGCCAACGCCTCCCCACTCCCCATCGCTGCCCCTCCGGAGCCACGCAGACCCTGGCGAGAGCGGCCCACAGGACCCAAACGTCCGGGGCCCGGTCCCCGTCCAGCCCAGCGGCCCGCAGTTGGGTGGGGGAACTCGGAAAGCCGGGAAAACAACCGCCCAGCCCGCCCCTCGCCAACCCCTTCCCCCGCTACGCCCCTGGCGCAGCGGGCGGAGGCGACTCTTTTATATAATCGCGGGCAGGCAGGTTGGCTGCTTCATTTAGGGACCCAGGAGCCCAGCGGACCCAAGCCGTCATTCGAAAACCCGCCCCCGGGTTCCTTCTGCGGCTGGGCAAACTGAGGCCCCGGGAGGGCCGGCGCCTGGCCCGGGTCCCCACTCCCTCGCCCCCCACCCACCCCCAGCAGCCCCGGCCGCAGCGACCCACGCCCGCGTCGGTCCTCGCAGTGCGCACAGCCCTCCCCGCCCCCGCTGCCATCCTGCCACGCCCCGGGCGTCGGGGGCAAAGCCCGCGCCCCCCCGCGCCCGCCCCTGCGCAGAGGCTGGGGGCCTGTTTATCTGGAGGCCCCCACCCCCCCTCCACCCCGGGGGGCCCGCTCCCCCCGCGCCCCGGGGAGCTCTGGGGCCAGATAAGCTGGCAAGCTGGCACGGCGCCGCGCAGCGGGGCGGAGAGGTCATAGGAGGGGGGGCGCGCCGGGGGCGGGCTGGACCCCCCCCAACTTGACAAAACCTAATAACAGCCCGGTCTCCCCGGCGCAGCGGGCGAAGCCCCACGGGAGGGCAGAGACGTGGCAAGAGGGGACCTGCCGAGCCTGTTCTGGCCTCCGAGGCCAGGGTGGGGGGGGCGGGCTGGGCGTGGGGGGGGGCCGGCGGCTGCGGCACCTTTAAGACAAGGGAGGACCCCTCTTGCCCTCGGAGAAACCAGGAAGGGAGTCGCGAGCATCATACGGGGCTTTGGCTGTACTGTACAGTTACTGTAGGGGCAGTGACGCCGCCGCCGCCGCCGGAGCGAGGGAGCGACGAGGGGAGAGCGCGAGAGGCGGAGAGCGAGAGACGCGGACCCCGGAGGCAAGCGGCCGAGGAGCCCAGTCCCAACTCCGGGCCCCGGCCCCTCGCGCCCCGGCCCGGCCCGGCCCCGGCCCGGCCGCGCGAGGTAAGTCAGCGCCCGGCGCGGCCCCCCGCACGGGGTGCAGGGCGGGGACGGGCCGGGGGCGCTGCGCCCACCTCTGCCCTCTCGGGAAGGGGAGATCAGGGGAGCCGCGGACGTTCCGCAAGTTTCAGAGGAGGGGGTGGTTGGCAGCTGCCGGGAGGCTGGAGGCGCCCTGGATCCCGAGCGCGGGGAGGGGGCGCCGCCCGGGAAGGGGGATTGGGGACGAAGTGCACGGGCTTGTGCCCCAGCCCCCCCCCCACCCGGGTGCATGGCTTTTCGGGGATCCCAGGCGCGCGGGGAGCGGGGGAGGGGAAGCGGGGCCGCATTGAGGGTGGGGGAAACCGGCGTGGGGAGATAGGGGGGCGCGTCGCGTGCTAAGTTTGCAGCTAGGTACTGGGGGTGCTCTCGCCCCCCGGGGGCCTATTCGGTGCTGCGTGCATACGTTGGAGTTGGCCAGGATTGAGCTCCATGGGGGATGGGGGGGGAGGGGGCTGAAAAAACAGGGAGGGGGGCTTTGCAAAGGAGGGGGAAGGGGTGGAGTGTCCTGGTGGGCGGGCGCGGCCGCGGGGGCTTCTGGACGTCGTAGTCCCCCCGCCGCTTGCGGTTGGCAGGTGGCAGGCGGCTCGGACTACAAGTCCCAGGGTGCCTCGCGCCGGCGGCCCGCCGCGGTCCGCGGGTAGGGGCGGTGCGGAGGAGGGGCGGTGAGCGGCGGGCCGGCGAACCAATGGGCGCGGACCGATCGCGCGGCGCGGCGCGGGGGCGGGCCGAGCCGGCCCGGGGGCGGGGCCTGAAGCCGGGCTCCCCTCGCCGGGGGCCGGTGGCGGTCCCCGGCTTCCGGCTGCGCGGCCCACGGGCCGGCCCCCTCCCCGCCCCGGGGCCCCTCCCCGCCTGGTTGTGTAACCGTCCCCAGCCCCCCTCCCCTCGGCCCCCCGCCCGGGGGGGGGGTCACCCACCCGGCGCTCCCCGGGGAGGGCGGCGGCCCAACCGGCCGCGCGGCGCAAGCGAGCCCGGGGATGCGCGGCCTAGTGCAGGCCGGGCCCGGGCGTGGGGGAGGCGGGCGGGCGGACCCAGATCCGGGGTAATTTGCATCGCCCTCCCCCCAGCCCGGGTGGGGATTGGCCGCCGGCGGCGGGGGGTGGCGCGGGGCCAGGCTCACTGCCGCCTCCCGGCCCCTCGGAGGGAGCCAGCCCAGCCGCAGCCGCCGCCACCGCCGCCGCCGGGGCCGGGCCCCCTTGCCGCTGCCCCGGGAAGGAGGTAGGAGCCCCCCGCGCGGGCCGCGGGCCGGGGCGGGGGCCGCGCGCTGCGGCCGGGGCGGGGGAGGGGGCCCGCTTCCTGCCCCCGCCCGGGCCTGACTCAGCCTTGGGTGGGGGGACCGGCCTGGTCCCTTGCCCCGCCCGCGCTGCCGCGCGGCTCCGGCCCCCGGGGAGGGGGCGGAGAGCACCCCTCTCCCCCCGCCCGCGCCCCCAAAGCGCGTGACCCCGTCTCCTCTGGCCCGGACCCCCCTCCTTCCCCTTGACGCCACCACCACGTGCGAACCCTGAGCCCCGGCAGAGGAGGGGGTGAGCTGGTGGGATCCGGCCCCCTCCCTCGTTCTTCCTCCCTCCCTGGCTTGGGAACCAGCCCCCTCCCCCAGCCCCAGGCCTGGGAAGCAGGCAGGGACCTGAGCTGAGCGCTGGGGCTGGGTGCACCCCCAGGCACAGGCCTTTGCGGGTTCTGGGAGGCACTGCCCGCGCTGGCTGGCTGCGGGGGAGCCGGGTGGACCGCAGCAAGAGACTGCTGTCCAACGCGGCCGGGGCACCCAGTGGGCGCCCGCTAAATGTTTGGGGAATGTAGCCAGCAGTTGAGTGAGCGGCAGGGGGAGGCCGACAACTCGTCTCTCTCGCCCTAGCCAGGCGGCGGAAGTGAGAGAGCTACTGGTGCCCCTTCCCCGGGCGTGCCCACCTGGTTCACCCATGGGTGGCGGGCTTGGTTTACTCCCCCCTCCTCCCTGCCAGCTGCCTCCGGGAGCAGGCCTGGCTGGAGAGGGCATCCGGGATTCCATGTCAGCACCCCCCCCCAACAACAGGGCCAGGGCGTAACCCTGAGTGTGCCGCTCCCATACTGGGGGGCCCTCGACAGGACCCGCTGATCACTTCCTATTGGCAGAGCTGGTCTTGGGAGAGGTCGGGGGAGTCCAGGCTGGGCCCTGTTGCTGCCCGGTGGACGGCTCCGGGCAGGGGCATTTCCCCCCACCTCCCGGGGGCCACCCGCCCTCCCCCCTCCCCGTGGGGCCCCTGGAGCACACCGGGCCTGGCACTTGTCGGCTGGGCTCGGGGCTCTGTTTACCGCCTGCCATCGCTGTGGAGACGGGAGCCTCGGGGAGAAGGGGGGGCAGGAGCCAGTGACTGGAAGAGCGAAGCCCTGGGATCCGCATGCCTAATGAAGGAAAGAGGAGCCAACGGGGACACTGAAATTTTAATTCGTGGGTCACTTTGGGGGGGTATTTATTATTCAGTTCTGATTGGCTGTGTGGTGGCCAGTCAGCACCCTGGCCCGGGCCGGGCGCCACGAAACTCTCAGCGCACGCAGGCCCTGGGAGAAGCAGCGGTTAGGGTGGCCTCGAGCGCTGGTGCACCCTTCGCTCTGTGTGGGATACTGAGGCCCGGCAGAGCTCAGCCTCCATCCAGTGGGGAAGGTTCCCGAGGCAGTAGCAAGTACCTGTGTTTGCTTTTTTCCTTGCTTTCTCTTCCTTGGGGCCCTCTGATCTATTGCTGGCGCAGGTTGGTGGCAGTCCCCATTGCCTTACGAGGAAACCAAGGCTGGGAGAGGAGCCTGGCCTGGCGCGGGGCTTAACAGCAACCCGGGGAGCTGGTGCCGTGGCGGGGGGGGTGGGGGTGGGGGGAGACCGAGGCCCAGGGGGAAGCAGAGAGCAGCCCAAGGTCACCACGCTAGAGCTGGGTCTGACCATCGTGGTCCTCCCTCCCGGCTCGGGATGAGGCCCACTCCTTCCTTCCTCTCAGCTGAGGAGCGCCCACCCACCTGTCTTCCAGAGGGCCTGGGGGTCGAGAGCAGGCGCCTGTAGGCCAAATGGAGCTTTCCTGAGGTTCATGAAACCCTTTGCGCAAAGAGGACAGTGAGACTCAGAGAGGGCCAGCAAGGTGCCCAAGGTCACACAGCATGAGCCCCTGTCCTCTCGCCTCCCCTGGGGAGGAGGGTTTGTTATCTTCTAAGCCCGTGGGGCTGCTCCCACAGCCTTCTGTGGCAGGCACTTTTACGGCTTTCTGGGGCCTTTCCCACCCCCTCTGAGCCACAGTCCCTCACCTTGGCACCTTGGCTCCTGGAGACGGGCAGGGCTCTCTGGCTTTTATGACCCATTATACCTGAGATGACCGAGGTCACCTCGAAAAAGCCAAGTCTCAGGGCCAGCCCCTCTGCAGCAGAGCTGGCCTGAGGCCTGCGGGGGGTTCGAGTGACGGCCCACTAGTTGCTCTGTGACCTTGGACAAGCCCCTCGGCCTTTGGGAGTCTGGGTGTCCCCCCTTGTAAAATGGGGTTATAGGGTATTCTGTGGGTGGTGCCTGAAGATCTGCCTGTGTTCCTGTTCCTTCTCTGCCTTGTGGAGGGAGCACCCCGGTCAACTCAGGGTGCCACCGGGATTCTGCGGGAGTGTGTCGCCAGGCCAGCCACTTGAGACACGCAGCACCCCCACCTGTCACCTTGTGCTCCAGGCACCTGATGGGCCATAAACCGCCCCGCAACAGCCCTGGGCAGTGGGGACCAGAGGAACAGGCTTGGGTGGGGGCCAGTGTGGTCCAGTCTCAGCCCAGCCCTCTCCTCCACCTGAGGTCTACCTGGGGAGGTCGCTACCCCTCTTGTCAGCCTCAGTCTTGCTGTCAGCCCAGATCTGTAGGCCTGAGGGTTTGGTCAGCCATTCCCCAGGAGCCCTAGGAGCATTTGCTGGGTCCCTGCCGTGCTGCGTCAGGCCCTGGGAGAGCCCCTGCTGCATCCCTGTCCTGATGACTAGGGCTCCGGGGCCCCTGCCCCGGAGTTCACAGATGCCACGAGTTCACAGATGTCAGCCCAACTCCGGTCCTGCCCCAGGCTCCCTGTGTGACCTCAGGCAAACCTCTCCCTTTTCGGGGCTATCACAAGGCAGCTCTGAGGGGGCATGAGAATAAGCTGTCCTCAGCTCCAAGGCCCCCAGGGGAGGGGGATTTAGTCCCTTGCTGGTGCCCCGGGGGTGGTGTGTGGCGGGGGGGGGGGGGGGGTGGGTGGAGAGTACGGAGCCCTGGAAGGATCAGTTAGTACAGAGCCAGTGGGTTTGTGTTAAAATTCAGCTCTGTTGTGTGACCCTGGGCAAGTCCCTTCCCCTTTCTTGAGCCTCAGTTTCCTGACCTGTAAAGTGGGGCAATGATTACAGACCCTGTAATGCTTGATGTTAAGACATCAGCCGCGCCCCCCCCCCCCCCCCGCCCTGCCCTGCTGCCCTGGAGCCTGTGGGGGAGCAGCCCCTCCCCTCGGGGCCTGAGGCAGGAGCACCAAAGCACGGAAGATGCCCTGTGGAGAATCTGGCGCTTGTGAGGAGCATGGCCAAAGGACCAGCCGCTCCATCTGTCCCCCCAGCAGGCTGTGAACGGCCACTCAGTGGAAGTGTCCCCACCCACGCCTTTCTGGTTTAACTGGAAAACAAGGCCTCGTCCCACCTCCCACCAGGATGTGTTTGATGGGAGGGAACTTGGCGGGTTTGTGGGCGCAGGACACTAGGGCCCCGATGGGCTGAGCTCCCCTCTGGGGCGTCCAGGCTGAGCCCTCTCCAGCTGCCCAGGCGGGGGGCAGGGGTGGGGGTGGTGCAGGTACCTCCTGGTAACAAGCAGGCCTCAGGGTCTGGAGGTAGAGAGGCGTCCAGCTCCTACAGGCCACCCAGGCCTCTTAGGGCAGTTTGTACAAGCATGTGCAGCCTGAGCAGGGGTGGGGTAGGAAGTGATGGGATTCTGTGAAGCCTGGCTTTACTTACCCCAGGTGATGGGAAGCTCATTCCTTCTAACTCACCATGAATGGCTTCTCCCTTCCCTGGGCTTCCTCTTGGAACCCAGTGCTGGTGTCAGGGCTGTCACTTCCTGACCCATGACGGCACTCAAGAGCGTGGGAATAGGGTGAGCCTCAGCCCCACCCATGAGTTGGGGGTCAGATGGGATCCCCATGACCTCCTCATCGCGCCCCCCCACACACTTCCCACTGGGCCCGCAGCCTTCCTGCCTCTGGCCCTTTAAGGCCTGGGCAGGAAGCCCCTCCCCATTTAGGGCAATAAATGGACACATAAAATGGCCGAGGGCCTGTTTGCTGGTGTCTGGCCTGGAGGGAGGCCTATGAGGACAGGCGGGCTGGCAGCCCAGCAGCCACGCCGGGCCGTTCGTGCCCCCCACTCCCTAATTGGGACGCTGCATTCCTGTCCCATTAAACCCCAGGCCGGGGACCGGGCCAGGCAGGGATTGGCACCAGGTCAGGGCGGGGTTACCCGTTGGGACCAACCTTGCAACACAGGCCGCTGGCCTGTGAGGGGGCGGGGGCGGCTGGGCGTGGGCCTGGCAACCGCACCTGGGCACCAGACTTGCTGTGTGACCTTGGCCCGGTCACCCACCCTCTCTGGGCCTGGTTTTCCCCTCCAGGTGACGGCTCCTCTCCCCTGGCTTCCTCCTGGGGCCCCCCACACACACTCCCCTGACACATCGTTCGTTGGTGGGGAAGGGGTTGAATTCCTGCAGTAACGTTCAGAAGTTAAGTTCAGAGCCCCCCATGCACAAGGAGGGGGACAGTAAACAGCCTCACTGGGCCTTTGGGGACCGGTGCAGGCACACAGTAGGTCCCCAGGAGGAGTTTGCCCAATGGGCGAGAGCGGGACCCTGGGCCTAGAGCAGCCCCAGTCCCCTTGCTGCTGTCATGATCTCTGAGGAGACCGCGGCAGAGAGGCACCGCCTCTTGCCCAGTGCCCTACCCTTGGAAGTGCAAGAGCCGGGATGAGGGCCCAGGCTGCTGTGTGTGGCACATAGTAGGTGTCAGAGTTCCCTTTGGTTTCCTGTCGTACTCTCCGTGGGTAGGGGGTGGAAAGGCCTTGACCCCTCATTAGGCTGCACCCCGCTCCTCCAGGAAGATGTCAGGTGGCAGTTACCTGCCCACCCCGTGCTGGCCGCCCCCTCTCCTTCCTGAGGAGTGCAGGGAGGAGGAGGAGGCGGCCCGCCCCAGCCCTCACCTTGCGCCTGACCTTGGGAAGCCTGGTGGGTGCAGCCTTCTCTCCCTGCCCCTCTCCCAGGCGCCCACCTCCGGGCCTTGGCCTCTGCTGTTGCCCATGCTCAGGACGCCCTTCCCACAATCCTGGGGTCCTTCCTGGGTGGCACCTGCTACTCCTGGGACCAGAGGAAGGCACTCGTGACCTTACCCGGGGGCCCCAGCAGTTGAGTGGCCGCAGCTCGGGTCCGAGAGTCCGAGTCCCAGCCTGGCCGCTGGTCTGCTGTGGGCTCTTGCCCGGGTCTGCTCACTGCTCTGAGCCTCTCCTCGTCTGTAAAGCCCAGGGTTACCGCGGGAAGGATGAAGTCAAGATGCCTGGTTCGTTCCTCAATTAGTTCCTGAAATGTCCGGGGCAGAGAGGAGGCCCCACAAGGGCCGAAACCGGCTTGGGTTCTGCCGCCTTGGAAAAAGTGCAGCAAGCGACCCCGGGTTAGATGGGAGGTGGGACCGGGGGGACCCCGGCAGCTAGGTGGATGGGGCTGGGTGTGGGCTCTCTCCAGCGCCTAGCTCTGTGGTCTTTGGGTCATCCGGTTTGCTGCGCCCCTACTGTGCGTCCGCGGCAGTGGGGGGGGTGGCGAGCACAGAGGGAAGGGGTGCCCCACCTCTAGCTCGGGAGGAGCCTGCTGAGGCCTGCCCCTCGGCCGCCGAGTCAGCACCCAGCGCCCCGGAAATCCCACGGAGGCGAGCGCGGGGGCGGAGCTCTGATGAAAGATGGGCTGGGTGGGTGTGGGCCTGAGCTCGGGGACCCTGGCCTGCCGCTGAGGGTGGGGACCTGGCCGGCGTGGGGGTGCGGCTTCCCAGAGGAGAGCGGTTTCATTGGATTGTCATTGCCAAGGAAACCACCTGGTGTGGGGGCACCTGCTAGGTGCCAGGTGCCAGCCGGGCCTGTTAGAGCGCGGGAAGCCACAAGGCTCTCCCGGTGAGAAGATGCGGTGCACAGTGCGTGTTCAGCAGACGGGGCTGTTTATTGCCCTGAGCCCACCTGACTCAGCAGGGGGGGCGCTCAGCCGCCCTCCCTCGCCCGTCTCATGCGGTCTTCTGCCTCTTTAGAGGGAGGGCCCCAAGAGGCCTGGGTGGGGGCAGTGGCCCAGGGCGTGGCGGGCAGGTGGCATGTGTTCCTGGAGAGAGGGTGTGGGCCAGGTGTCTGCAGAGCCAGTTTAGTTTCCAGGGTGAGGGACGAGGTGACGGCTTGCTGAGCCGGTGGGGGGAGCGGGGAGGTGGGAGGCCAGACCCTGCGGGTCAGGCTCGCGGGGCGCCCTTGGCCAGGATTCCGAGTGTGTCTGGGCCTTTGTGTTCTCTTCTCTCGGTGGGGGTCATGCTGCTCTCACGGTGGGGCGGGGGGGTTCTTTGGCCGGCATCCATCTTCCCAGGCCTGGCCCTTTGGGGGAGGATGCCTTACGGTCATGTGGGGAACGAGGAACTCTCGGACCCCGCGCAGAGCCCCAGTCTTGGTTCGGTGCCCCATGCCGGGTCTGAGGCCCAAGCTTGCCTCCTTCCCAGCTGGGTGGTTTCCAGCAAATGAGAGCCCGGGCATCTTCAGCCTTGATGTAGGGCTGTGCCAGCCCCCTTGCCCGGCGGCCTCAGTGCCCGTGGGAAGGCGGAGGCGGAGCGGCCCGTGGGGGGGTGGCTGGTGAATCATCTGAACCATTTCAGGTCCCGACCTCGAGGCCCCCAGAGACACCTTGGTCCAAGGGGACGCTGGGGCACCTGGGGGCACAATGGTGAGCAGGGCCAGGGTGGCCATCTTGAGGCGGATCAGAAAGGGGTGAGGAGGGCCGAGGCCAGTCTGATCCGGAGCCCATCTGCCCACTTGCTCCCTGGGGCCTGGGGCCAGACAGCAGATGGTGGCAGGGGGTGGAAGCCGCCATAGGGGCTCCTCCGAGGCTTCCCGGGGCTGAGCCTCGGATGGGGTCAGCCCCCCATCTTCCTGCTCCCAGCAGCCACATATGAGCCTCCCCCCCCCCCCCCGCCCGCCAACGGGCTGGCGGAACAGAGCGGGGAATGGAGCAGCTGGTGTGGTCAGCGGGGAAAGGGGGCGGGCCGCAGAGAGAGGCGTCCTGGGAAGTGTAGTACGTGCCTGGGTGGCCGCACAAAGGCCTCTGTGTCAGCCCCAGGGCGGCCCAGGGTTGGGACAGTCCCGCCCTGGCCTTGGGTCCGGCCATACCAACCCTGGGGTCCTTTGCCAGGCTGGCCCCTCAAGGCAGGAGGGATCTGGTTTCGACCTGTGTTGGGCTGCTCCGCACGGGGGGCTGGGGGTTCCTGAGGTGGCCAGGGAAGGCACAGCTTCATCCCTGTCCCGGGAGATGTCCAGGGGCTCTGTCCCGAGAGCTGACCAGCCAGAGGAATGTGGGTTGTGTTGGGTGGCTTGGGGCAGCCGGGTGCTCCCCAGAGAGGGTGGAGGGGTGGGGACAGGAGCCAGAGGGTTGCACAAGCGCCCGGGTGGGTGGATGAGTCACAGCCCAGGGGAAGGCGGAAAAAAGGAGTGGAGGAGAGGGGCAGGACAGACAGAGTGCTGCCCCCCCGCCATGGCCCGCTCTTCCAAAGGCCTCTGTCCATTTGACGGATGGGGAGACTGAGGCCCTGGGCCAGAACAGCAGTGGCCAGGGTCGCCAAGAGTTGGGGAGGGGCTGGGTGGGCCTGAGGTGGACAGGAAGCCCCTGTCCCCCTTGTTTCACCTTTGTGGGGTTCAGCCTGGGTGGGCCGGGAAAAGGAGTGTCAGGCCATTCCCCCATTACTCGACCAGGGCCAGACTGCGCGGTGGGGCCTCCCCGGGGCAGGAGGGGGTTTGTTGTGCCGTCGCTGGCTTTGCCCCTCCGGGGTGCGCCTACAGCCGGTTGACCCCAGCCTGGTCTCTGGGTCTCGGCCTCTCCCTTTCCCTCTGACTCAAGAGCCCCCCAGCCCAAAGAGAACCGGGCCTCACTGGGAGGCGCGAGTGAGGGTCAGAGAGGACAAGGGGCCAGGCGGACAGACACAGACCCTCAGGTCATGCGGCCGAGATTGGAGTTGGGCTGCAGCTGCAGGGCCGCTGGCACAGCTCCTGCCTGAGTCCTGGTTTCTCGCCTCCCACCGTGGGGATGGTGCTGCCGGGGGGCCTGCTGGGGGCTCGGGTGTGATGGCGCACAGTGGGTGCCTTGGGTCCCTGCCTCCTGGGAGGCTGTGGGCGGAAGCCAGCGCTCGGACTCGTTAGGAAGCAAGTCACGTGAGGCATTGGTTGAGCACCTACTGTGTGCTCATCCCACCTCAGCTCAGCCCTTGGACGAGTAGTGCGGTGGGCCCTCTAGTGGAGGAGAGGGCGCCAGGGTCCGTCTCTGAAGCACCTGGCGTGGGTTTTGCCAACGGATGACACAGTACTGGCGCCCAGCTGGGAAACTGAGGCTGGGGGCGGGGCGCTCCTTTCCGAGGGTCTCCGGCCCCGGCCGGCGTCCCTCACCGGCACCCTCTCCCTCCCCGGCGCTGCAGGTCTCGGCGCGGAAGATGGCCGGCGGCGTGGATGGCCCCATCGGGATCCCGTTTCCTGACCACAGCAGCGACATCCTGAGCGGACTCAACGAGCAGCGGACGCAGGGCCTGCTGTGCGACGTGGTGATCCTGGTGGAGGGCCGAGAGTTCCCCACGCACCGCTCTGTGCTGGCCGCCTGCAGCCAGTACTTCAAGAAGCTGTTCACGTCGGGCGCCGTGGTGGACCAGCAGAACGTGTACGAGATCGACTTCGTCAGTGCCGAGGCGCTCACGGCCCTCATGGACTTCGCCTACACGGCCACGCTCACCGTCAGCACGGCCAACGTGGGCGACATCCTCAGCGCCGCCCGCCTGCTCGAGATCCCCGCCGTGAGCCATGTCTGCGCCGACCTCCTTGACCGGCAGATCCTGGCGGCCGACGCGGGCGCCGACGCCGGGCAACTGGACCTCGTAGATCAGACCGACCAGCGGAACCTCCTCCGGGCCAAGGAGTACCTCGAGTTCTTCCAGAGCAACCCCATGAACAGCCTGCCCCCTGCCGCCGCCGCCGCCGCCGCCGCCTTCCCCTGGTCTGCCTTTGGCGCGTCCGATGACGACCTGGATGCCACCAAGGAGGCCGTGGCCGCGGCCGTGGCCGCCGTGGCCGCCGGCGACTGCAACGGCTTGGACTTCTACGGACCGGGACCGCCGGCCGATCGGCCCTCGGCCGGGGATGGGGACGAGGGCGACAGCAACCCAGGTCTATGGCCAGAGCGGGACGAGGACGCCCCAGCCGGGGGCCTCTTCCCGCCCCCTGTGGCCCCGCCGGCCACTGCCACGCAGAATGGCCACTACGGCCGGGGTGGGGAGGAGGAGGCAGCCTCGCTGTCGGAGGCAGCCCCCGAGCCGGGCGACTCTCCGGGCTTCCTGTCGGGTGCGGCCGAGGATGGGGACGGGGACGGGCCCGACGCGGACGGGCTGGCGGCCAGCACGCTGCTGCAGCAGATGATGTCATCGGTGGGCCGGGCGGGGGCGGCGGCGGCGGGGGACAGTGACGACGAGTCGCGGGCAGACGACAAGGGCGTCGTGGACTACTACCTGAAGTACTTCAGCGGCGCCCACGATGGGGATGTTTACCCGGCCTGGTCACAGAAGGTGGAAAAGAAGATCCGGGCCAAGGCTTTCCAGAAGTGCCCCATCTGCGAGAAGGTCATCCAGGGCGCCGGCAAGCTGCCGCGGCACATCCGGACCCACACCGGGGAGAAGCCCTATGAGTGCAACATCTGCAAGGTCCGCTTCACCAGGTGAGCCGGCGGCACCGCGGCGGGGGGTGGCGGGGGCGACGGGGGGCCCTTTGCTTCAACTGCAGCCACGTGTGGACCCCTCCCCCGCCACACACATACACCACCTGCACGTGCAGGAGCGGCGCTGTCCTGCCTGGAAGGGTGCTTCCTCCATTTCTGGGCGCCTGTCTCCCCTGCACCCCTCGGGACCAGTCGTCGGGTTGGGGGAGAGCTCAGGGACTCACCAGGGTGAGCGTGCGGGCGGCGGGGCCGAACCACACGAGGCTTGAGGGAAGGCGCAGGGAGTCGCTCTTCTTCTTTTTCCGGGGGGTGGTTCTTCTCGACTGCGCTGGAGGCAGATGTTTGCCTTGGGAGAGGGTGGCTGCCCCGTGGGGCGTGGGGCGCCGTGTGATCTCCTTGAGTCTCCCGGGAGCCCTGAGGACTCGCTCTCTTCAGCCAGCACTTATGGAGCACCTGCTGGGTGCCGGGCCCTGTTCTAGGCAGCGGGGACCCAGAAGTGCAGAGACACGCTAGAGACCCTGTGGGGGCGATGGGGCGCATCTGAGATCAGAAACCACAGAATTGGTAACGCGAGTTGGCAGAGCTGCAGAGAACAAGGTTGGGGGGCGGCAGCTGTTTTAAACAGAGAGCTGAAACCCCGAGGAGGCAAGGGGAAGGCCAAGTGAACGGCTAGTGCAAAGGCCCTGAGGCCAGTGGAGCTTGGGGGTCGCCACAGCCCGTGGAGGGAAACGGGCCTAGGAGCCACTGGGCTTGGTCTCTAGGCAGGAGGAGTTGGAGGCCAGGCTAAGGGAATTTGTGGTTGGATCTTAAGAGTCCAGAGCTGGCTGGTTGGGCCTCGTGGACCAGCCCAGTGGGGGTGGGGGGCTGGCGTGCAGGGGCCTGGCCAGGCTGGGTGACTCAGCATCACCCCCTACCCCCACCCGCCCTGGGGTTCCCCCAGCCACGCCCACCCAGGCTGAAGAAAGAGGCCATTGTCCCAGCTTCCCGGCCCTGCCCCATGGGGACAGGACCTAGGGGCCGACCCCTGACCCCCTCCCCAGCAGGCCAGGAGAAGAGGGTGTGGCCCAGACTGCAGGGCCCAGGAGCCCAGGCGAGGGGCAAAGGGTGCCAGCTGGGAGGGAGGCAGTCTAGTTGGTGGCCCAGCTCCCGCCCCTTCGGTAAGATTGGGGTGCTGGTAGTCTTGGGGCCTCCCTCTTCCTCCAGACAGGAGTCCTAAGGTGGCTGTGGGCCCTGCCCGCAGGGGTCTCTGGGCCCAGGAGGGGCAGCTTGATAGAGGCCTGGCAAGCCACGGTCTGGAGAGGTGACCAGGCTGAGCAGAGGCCTGGAGCCCCCCCCGCCCCAGCACCCCTAACCACAGGCCTGAGGCAGTTTCATTCCGACCTGCTGTTCTCGTGGTCACCCCACCCTGACTCGGGCTGATCCTGCTTACCAGTCAGGGAAACTGAGTCAGGGAGAGGGCCACCGGGCTACGCCTTTTCCCCCCATGTGCCCACCCGGCTCCTCTTTGCCCCCAACCCAGGGCCCCAGCCCCCACGCCTTCCTCCAGGCCAGGGAGCCCAGGGGCCCCTCTGAGTCACACTAGAGTTGAGTAAGCGGGACCTGTGGCAGCCGGGGCTATAATTACCCAGACCAGGGCTTGGGGTGACGAAACAGGCTGCTTCCACCCCCACCCCACCACCGTGCGGCCCCTGACCCACTGTGCAACTCGGGACAGGTCACTTTCCCTCTCTGAGCCTCTGAGTCTCACCTGGGGAGATTTCTGCACACTGCTCGAACAGTGCGAGCCCTTACTGTCCCCTCTGGACCTGGTCCCGGGCTGGGATCTGGGCAAGGCAGCTGGAGGACCACGTTAGTGGACTTAGAGGGGGTGAGAGGAAAGGAGCTTGGCAGTTGCATCCCCTCACTGCTGACAGACCCGGTCAGTCTGGGGAACGATGAGTTCACTGTGGCCTGAGTTCTTTTGACGCACATAGAAGAAATAAGGCTGGAGAATGGGCAGGGGTGCGGTTGCAGAGGGCCAGGCCTTGACCCTCAGAGCAGTAAGGAGTTGAGAAAGGGTTAGAGGAGGTAAGGACACCAGCTCTGTGAGTGATTCCAGAGGGAGGGACCTGGGGCTAGAGGAGCCTAGGGGAGACCAAGTCTTTGTCTGAGGGGTGGGAATGGCTTCCTGGAGGAGGAGGGCAATTGAGATGGGGCTTTGAAGGATGAATAGGAGTTTGTCAGTCCTGGCACTGACCAGTCTGGCGCGTCTGAAAAGTGAGAGACCCAGTGCATCTCGTACGTAGGGTGCAAGAGGCCGCAGCAAGGAGTGGGTCAGATGCTGGCCAGCGCTCCTGAGACCCAGGTCTCTGCCCCTGCTGGTGGGTCCAGGCAGGAGTCCTCTCCTGTGACTGTAGACCAACACAGTGCCGTAAAGCATCATGTGAGTCACTTCTGTGATTTTACATTTTCTGATAGCCGCATTTTTAAAAAGTAAAAGGAACAGGTGAAAGTAATTTGAATCGTATTTTACATCCTTTTTTTTTTTTTTACATTTAACATGTAACCAATGTGCCAAATCATAAATGAGCTTTTTTTTGTATTACATTAAGCAGATGAAGTCTTCAGGATCTGGGGTGCCTTTTGCACTTCTAGCACATCTCAGTTGGGACGGGCCACATTTCAAGGGCTCGGGGCCACGTGTGAGCAGTAGCTGCTGTGGGGGACTGAGCAGCAGCTGGCCTGTAGTTGCTTTGGGCTGAGACGCTGACCAGCTTTGTGGGCCAAAAGGCCCCCGGCTGAGCTGGGTCCATGCTGTTCCCTATGGGGCAAGATGGGCAGGGAGGGGTCCCGGAATCACCCAGACCCTGCTGTCTTGGGGTTCACAATCCAGTCAGGCAGACAGAGGAGGAACAAGGAAACCCGCACACAGATGAAGAGTCAGATGGTGGTGGTATGAGGGACATGGGGTGGGGTCAGGCTGTAGCAGCGGGGAGTGGCCTCTCCGAGGAAGTGCCGGTAGAGCTGGAATTCAGATACGAAAATCTGGGAAGAAAGTGCTCCAGGCAGCAGGAAGAGCATGTGCAAAGGTCCTGAGGAAGGCGCGTGCTTAGCATGTTGCGGTGACAGCTAGGAAGCCAGTGTGGCCAGAGCAGAGAGCGGCAGAGGTGCTGGGAGAGTTGACAGGGACTGGGGGCTGCGGGGTGGAGACTTGCCGTCCCGGGATGTAGGACTTTCAGTGTTAAAAACCAGGACAGCTGGCCATCCTCTTTTACCAGACCCCCCCCCCCACCCCGCCCCCCGGCATCCTGCCTTGTGCCCTGTAGTGTATTTCAGCCCCTGGAATAGAGCCTGGTACTCAGCAGGCACTCCATAAATGCCCCAGGAGGGAAGTCCCTTATCGTCGTCCTCCTGTGGATGAGAAAAGGGGTTCAGAGAGGTTCAGTCATTTGCGTGAGGCCACACAGCAAGTGGGGTCCAAGGCCTTTTTCAGTCCCCGTGGGCCCTCGGTGCACCCCCCCCCTGCACCACAATGCCCAGGACTGTCCCTGCTCGAGCGCCGACGTCCCCCGGCCCCAGCCCACCTGCCCCAGCCGTCTCCAACTCCGGGCCAGGGTGGGGGCGGCTGGGGGGCCCTCAGGCGGCGCCCGCTGACCCGTCGCCCCCCCCCCCCCACAGGCAGGACAAGCTCAAGGTGCACATGAGGAAGCACACGGGCGAGAAGCCGTACCTGTGCCAGCAGTGCGGGGCGGCCTTCGCGCACAACTACGACCTGAAGAACCACATGCGCGTGCACACGGGCCTGCGCCCCTACCAGTGTGACAGCTGCTGTAAGACCTTCGTCCGCTCCGACCACCTGCACAGACACCTCAAGAAGGACGGCTGCAACGGCGTGCCCTCGCGCCGTGGCCGCAAGCCCCGCGTGCGGGGCGGGGGGCTCGGGGGGCCCGACCCCTCCCCGGGGGCCGCCGCCCCGCCCGGCGCCCCGGCCCCGCCCGGCTCCCCCGACGCCCGGCGCAACGGCCAGGAGAAGCACTTTAAGGACGAGGAGGAGGACGAGGAGGCGGCCAGCCCCGACGGCCTGAGCAGGTTGAATGTAGCGGGCGCCGGCGGAGGGGGAGGCGACGGGGGCGCCGGGCCCACCGCCGATGGCAGCTTCGCGGCCGGACTTGCCTGAAAACCAAAAAGAGAAAACAGAAAACCGAGAGAGAGAGAGAGAGAGAGAGAGAGACAGAGAGAAAATCACCCACCACCCCCCAAAAAACACAAAAAAAGAAAATCTATCTATATACAGATATCTATATATATATATACAGATATATATATGAGGCGTCACAGAATCTAGGGTAGTGCTTTTCTCAGATTTTTCTCCTTCATGATGTTCTCTCCCTCCACAGGGACCCTCGCCCCTGCTCCGGCTCCCCGTCCCCCCCCCCACCCCGTCGATGGGTTTCGGGGCTCGGTTTGGGGTTTTTGTGGGACATAGAGATTCGGAGGCCCCCCGGACATCCCCCCGGCATGGAGCCTGGGGTCCCCTCTGAGGCCTGGTCAGGGCCCCAGGCCCCTGGTGGGGGTGAGGGTGGCCACGGGGGACTGGGGGCGGGGGCGGGCTTTTGTTTTCATCCCCTCGCTGGTTTCTAGGAGTCTTTCAGACAGGACCTTAAACGATCTCTGTCCGCTGTGAGCGGACGTTAAAATGCACCCTGTCCCCACCCCCACCCTCCTTCCTCAGGGCACTTACTAAAGTGGGGGTCTCCCCCCCTCCATCTCCCCGATGGCCTCCCCGCCTCCCGTTCCTGCCTGTGGTCCTCTGTGTCTCCTGGCCGATGTGACACAAATCTATTTATTTCCAGGCCTGGAGAGAGGGGGGCGGTGGGGGAGGGGGCAGGGCGGCGGCGGGGGCGCCAGGGCAGCTCCCAGGGGCTGCCACCGCCTCCCTTCACGGCACTTACACCCCGGCGGACCCCTACCCCGGACCGCTGCTCAGGGCGCCCCGCCACCCCCACCCCCCAGCCTCGCTCCCCGACCCAGGCTGCCCAGACCCCACGAGATGTTTGGAGATTCAAAACTTTTTTGTCTTCACCCTCCCCTGCCCCTGCCCTCTCCCAAGTTTTTAAAGCACTTTTTAGATTTTTTTTTCTTTTCCTCCTTAAAAACAAAATTTATATATAGATATATATAGATATATATATATAAAATATACTTTCCTCAGAGGAGCAGGCAACAGTGTGGGGTGGACGAGCCCAGAGCAGAGGGAGCCCCGGGTCTCATGGTGGCAGGGAGGAGGGGAGAGAGTCCAGAAGTTCCAGTGTCACAAAAGCAATAAAAACAAGATTTTACAAAATGAAAGGAAAAAAAACAAAAAAACAAAAAAACACACAAAAAAAAAGACAACCAACCACAAATAGAAGTCTTGGCACTTTGTAACAGAACGGGTACTACACTTTATCTTAATTCTTAATTTAAAAACATGTTTACAAGTTACAACCAACTTCTATGAAAAGTCGAAAAGACAAAAAAAATAAAAAATAAGAGAGCGAGCGAGAGAGAGCGAGCGAGCGAGAGAGCAAAAAGAAAATTCCTAAAAGTCAATTTATTTTTGTACAAAATAATAAAAAAAAAAACCCACCACAGACGCAGAATCCACTTCTGTTCCCCGAGGTGAGGAGGGGGTCAGGAAGGCACGGGTGAGGTCTTCTGAGGTGGTCTTCGTGCTTTGCCACGGGGGCCTGCCCTGCAGGCAGGACCGTGGGGTTTTTGTGTTTCTGCCGTGTCCCCCCCACCCCCACCCCACTCCTGTCCCTTTTTGGTTCTGATTTGGAGATGTCTCATCACCCGCCAGCCATACAGTGGCCAACCCGTGTCCGCGGGGACCTTCCTTACTGACTCCCCAGCTCAGGGATGGGCCCGAGAGAGGGCTGGCCTTCCGACCAGCCGGAGCAGCCCAGCCCCCAGCCCCCACCCCCACGCCCCCTCCCTGCCGCCCCTGCCCTCATCCCTCGCCCACTTCGGGGCTCCCCGCCCTCCAGCATGGCCGCTTTTCCTTGTGGCCACCAAGGAGCCGCCATCTTGGACATGCCATCCCCGTCGAGGTGGGTGACGGGGCCCCACCTCCAGGGCCTTACACCCCCCCCCAAGCCACCCCTCTTTTTATTCAAAGGCACTGACTGTAATCTGGGGGCTGGCACCTGCCTCCCCCCAGCCTCTGGCTCCCCAAAGGCCCGGTATTGACCGAGCCACAGGCCACGGACAGGGGCCAGGGCTGGGGGGACCATGTTGTCAGAGGCCAGGGCACCCTCACCCCAACGCCCTCTCGCATATGCAATGCCTAGCGTGGGACCCTGTAAATAGACGCCCTGCCAAGCCGAGACCCTTCCCCATCAAAGCCCAAGGTGAGGGGTGCCCCTGCTCCTCCCCTCCAGCTGCTGGCCCATCTCTCCGTGCCCCTTTGCTCTGTGACACAGACTCCGTCTTCTCGTCTTTTTCTTTCTTTTTTTTTTTTAAAGGGAAGCTTTTTAAGAAGGCAACTTTCATCATTGTTTCTACAGGATAGTTTTCGTGTCCCACCCCACCCCCGAGCCCGTCAGCCCCCCAAATGTCTCAGGACCCCCCCCTCCTGAGGGGGGGGTGGCAGGGGAGCCCAGGGCCGGGTGGCCTTGCTCACACCCCGGTGTCACGGAGTGAGCTCTTTCAGAGAACCATCTGTGGAGGCCAAGCAGAGAGCTCGGGCGCCCAGGCCAGGGACCTCCCCCCCACCCCAACCCCAGCTGAGAGGCTCCCTGAGGGGACAGCCCTCTCCCCCCCCCCCGCCACCCTACCCGTATACCCCCTCGCAATAAAACCAACTGAAAAATCACAGCTGTCGTCCTGGCCAGTGGGGGCGACTGGACTTGGGGGATTGAGGCCTCTGGGACTATGGCGGGGGCAAGGGCTGAACCCCCGCCGAGCACACTTTTAACACAAACTTCCTTGGGAATTGCACTAAACCCCTGCCCCTAGCTCTGAGCTCAGCTTCTGACAGCCCTGCCCACCCACTCCGCCTTAACCCCTCTCCTGCTGCCTGCCAGCCCGTCCTAGGGCCGCAGCGTCTGCATGGGCCCAGCGCTGGGACCCCAGCCCCCCCGAACTCTGCGCAATCACATACTGTATATAGACGTGGATCGATTTTATTTTTATTCTTTAAATTAAGGTCGTGATAAAGTGTTGCCAAAGATACTGCTGAATTCTCGCGTTTCAGGAAACAAACAAACAAAAAATATTTGAGGGGGAACGTGCTGACTGGTCAGAAGGGACACAGCAAAACGTTTTTTTGTTTGGTTGTTTGGGGTTTTTTTGTGTTTTCTTTTTTTTGGGGTGTTTTTTTTTTTTAACTGCCTGGTACAAAAAAAAAAAGAAAAGAAAAACAAAGCGAAATTGTTATTTCCATCATCTTGGTGAAGTTGCGTGGATGTGTGTTGTGCGCGCGTGTGCAAGAGTGAGGTCCCGGCCTGGGGCTCCGGGTTGGGGGGCTCTGGGGGGCGCTCGGGGTTGGGGTGGCGGAGCCCCCCCTCCCCCGAGCCGTCCACTGGCCTGCAGGACCTGGGAGAGAGAGGTTAACACCCTTGCTACTCCTCCCTGCCTAGCCCCCACCCCAACCCTGACCCTGCCTTTTGAGATTAAGAAAAAAAAAAAAAAAAAAAACCACACACACACACACACACACACACACACACACACACACACACAAAACCTTAAAACCCAGTGAATGTAAAGTGCCGGAGCAGGCCCAGCCTGGCGCGGGTGTGGGCCTGCGCCCAGCCGGGGCTCCAGCAGGCCGTACCAAAGTCTGCCCCCGTTGGGTGGCTTGCCCAGGAGACCCCATGTGGCCATCTCATCCCGTTTCCGTTTGTACATGGCTGTCCCTTTGCTTCCTTCCAGGGGGGAGGGGGTCTCAGGTGGGAGGGGAGGGTCCCCCAGTCCCTTCCAGGGCCCTCTGGGGAGTCTTTGCACTACTGAGACCCTTTGACAGGTGGCTGGAGTCGGGGGTGGGGGGGCAGTGGCGGACGTGTGGCACGCGGTGGGACCGAGACAGGGGCTGGGGCCCGGGGACCCCCCCCCCAGGACCGAGGCAGTCCAGGCAGCCGGGATTGTAGGAGGCCAGACAGAGTGAAAGGAAAAGCAGGACAAAAAATTTTAAAACCAACAAAAAAAGCAAAAATCCTATTTTTTGAGAAAGAAAGATATTTATATTTGCAGTTTTATTTTAAAAAGTTATTTAAGCTGAGGAAGCAGCCTTCCTGGAGGGGTGGCTGGCGCAGGACGGGTCAGGGCCTGGGGGCTCAGGTGCCCCGGGAACCATAACCTCAGAGTTAAGACTAGCTCGCACTAAATACATAGATTTACATGGGGGGTGGGCGGGCAGGGCCAGGAGATGGAGGGGGCCGGGGAGACCCCCGTCCCGGAGTTGAGGCTGCCTGGAGGCCGCGGCCAGGGGTTCAGACACCCAGGTTCCCCCCTGCCCCGCCCAGGCCCAGATACGAGGTGCCTTGGACTTTGGGGGGGCCGGGCCTGGTGAATGGGGGGCAGGGGCGGCGCCCGGGGGCACAGAGCACAGAGCAGACATTCCATAGACTGTATTTGAGAGTCTTTATAAAAGTGTGGGAGATTTAAAAAAAAAAATCAATTGATAAAAATGCACTTTTTGGGGGTGGGGGGGAGAAGCTTTAAAAGTAATAAAAAAAAAACAACAAAAAGACAAAAGATGAAAAACCAGACAAAAAAAATCATTTTTCTTGTACATAAAAAACCACTAAACGCAGCCTGTTACGAATGCTGCTGCCTCATTTGCCTGATTTTGATGTTCTTTGTGTTTTGTTCGGTGGGTGGGGGGAGGCTGGGGAGCGGGGACGGAGGGCCCGGGGGCCCCTTCACCAAGGGTCTGGCCCTTAAGTGCCCACACCAGTTGGGGCCCCCATGCTCAGCCTGACCCTTCCTGCCAGGCCTGGGAGGCAGTGTGGGAGCTGGCCTCTGGGCTCCCGGGCTGGGTGGGGATCCCCAGCATTGGCAGGCCCGGGGCCCCTACAGAGGAGGTGACCCACACGCCCCGGCTTGGGCAGGTGGCACCAGGAAGGGGCCCCCAGGGGCGGGCAGGGAGAACTGGCCCGACAGGCTTCTCGGTCACCTCCAGCTCCAGGGTTTCTGGAGGCCGGGGGCGGGGCGTCTGGTTGGGGAGCCCCAAGTCTGTTGGAGGTCCCCGGGTGCGGCCCCACGTTGGGCCCCATGACATGATCAAGGATTGGCGCTGGCCGCTCCCCTGACATCGCCCCCAGGAGGAAGGGGGGCCGTTGCCCACCCACGACGAGGGGTCCCGGACTGCAGCCTCCCTGTCCGGGTTGGGGTTACCAAACATGGCCACTTTCAGGGCCCCGAGTGGGGAGTGGGGGGTGGGTGATGGAGGGGACCGAGGGGCGGGATGGCCATGCCACAGCCTGGGAGAGCACCAGCGAGGGCTCGGGGAGGGATTCGGGGTCCCGTGGGGACAGACACAGGCAGAGTGGGGGTGGGGCCAGCGGCCTGAGGCAGCCACCAGCCCACCAGGGCCTCTTCCCACGTGCCCTGTGTCCCCCCCTACCCCTGCTAGGAGGGAGGAGTTTGTTTTTAATTGAAATAGTACTCACACAAGACATCCTGCAGCATATTCCAGGAACCCACCCCTGTCTGGTTTCAGAACATGCCATCACCCCAGAAACCCATCCCTGTTAGTAGTCACCCCCACACACTGTCCCGCGAGCCCCCTTCCCGTCCGTGGACGTGTCACCACGTGGACTCACACCCCGTGTGGCCGTCTGTGCCTGGTTCCCTCCCTGAGCGTCGTGGGCTCGGGGTCCGACCCCGGGGCAGCGCGTGTGGGCGCCTCGCTCCTGCTCGCGGTCGTGGGATGTGACTGCACGTGGTGGACACCCTTTCCTTTATCCGTTTGCCTGTCGCCGGACACGGGGCTGTTTCCGTTTCCGCCTTCTGGCTGCTGTGCACATGCGTGTGCAGGTTTGTACGTGAGCTTGGCTCACTAAGCTAGGACAGGGATGGCTGTCCCGTGGTCACCCCGTGTCTCACCTGGGGGAGGACCTGGTGTCCTGTCCTCCAGGGCGCCAGCCCTTGTGAGGGTTCCAGCCCCTCCGCATCCTCGCCGACACTTGCTACTGTCTGACTGCAGGCCCCCCGCCCAGCGGCTCTGCTGGGTTCTCCGGGCTGTGGTCCGAGTTCCCTCCCACCAGCTCAGTGGCTCCCCAGGCGAGCGGGGACAATCCTGGACCTGGCAGACCTGCCTCGGCTCCTTTGCCCGGCCTAGCAGAGAGACACCACAGCGGGCCCAGCAGTGCAAAGCGAAACCTTCCGCATTTGACCAAATGCTGCACCTTTTGGATCCCCAACGCCATGCTGCCCGAGGGGACCATCCACGGGGAGCCTGCGTCCTTCGATCCCCTCACCCCCAGCCAGCGCCCCAACGCACAGAGAAGCGGACGCCTCGGTGGCTTCACCTTGACCTTTTTTATTTGCGTTTTTAAAAAACAATTAAATTAGAATACAAATATTAGAAAACCGCGGCCCTCAGCTGCCAGTGCAGCCGGAGGGGGGCCGAGCTGCACGGCCGAGTTTATACAGTAAAACTGAATTTGCCCTCGGCCAGATTGATGTCCCTTTCTTCTTCAGACCTGAAACGGTATTGCTTCCTGACTAGAAGAGCTGTTTGCACAAAGGAAATTATTCCGGGGCTGGGGGACAGCAAGGAAAAAAAAGCAGAACAGAACGGAGGGCAGAGGCGGTGGGAGAACCGAGCGTGGCCTCCAGAGGACAAGGACGCTGGGCGGGGGGGCCGGGCGCCCAGCTGTGGGTTCCTGGAGGCATCGGGGGCAGCGGTAGGGACCCCCCCGCGATGGCCGGCCCCCCCCCCAAAGCCGGGTGCCCCCAGGGGCTGGGCGAGTCGCTGACGGGTGGCCCTCGGCCTGGTCCTGTTGGAAGACGAGAGTGAGGCTCCCGGGGGGGGGGTGGCCAGGCAGGCCTCTACCCTTTGGAAAACCCAAGAGCAAGAGGGGGGTAGGAGCCAGCCCACGTGGAGAGGGTGGGGCGGGAGTCCCTGCTGCCCCCTGGGAAGTGGCCGCCTGCCCCGGCCCCCTGAGGAGGGCTGGTGGTGGTGGTGGTGGTGGTGTCTGTGGACATCTGCGCTGTTCCGTAGGGAAGTTAACCTGAATTGGAGTTACCGAGGTAGCTGGCTAGAAAACTGAGACCCCCCCACGCCACACGCTGCCGCACCCTGGGGCCCCTGCCTTCCACAGGGGGTCCTGGCCACATGCTGGGTCTTCAAAATACCAAGTTATTGCACTTTCAAAAAATACAACACATCTGTGGCTAAACCCTCCCCGGACCCCCCCCACACCCCCCACTGCCCCTCCTGTGCCCCCCCCGCCCCCCTCCCCGCCCCAACCCACTCCATGGCTTCTTGGCTAAAATGCTCCCTGCTCAGCGGTGCGCTCCAGGGTCTCTGGGCGAGAGAACGTGTTTGCAGAGGAAAAAAGCAAAGGAACAGACGCATGTCAAAGTCGTGGCTGCTGCCAGGGAGGGGGGCCGTGCGCCCGTCCGTACCCCCCCCCCCCCCCCCCGCCCCCCGGCCCTCTGCACCAGCTGGAATGGTCCCTGGAAGAGGGGGGAGGCGGGGCATCCGAGCGCGGCTCCCTGGGTCCGCCTGCCCCTTCCCGGGGCTCGGCTCCGGCTGGGGAAGCAGCCGTGTGGGTGGCTCGCCTTGTCTGTAAAGAGTTTGATTTTGTTTCATTTTCCTTTTTTTTTTGTACTTTTTTTTGTCATTTTACTTTTTTTTAATTCTCCGAGAGGAGAGTCCCGAGGTACAGGTGCCAGGAGCCAGGGAAAGGGGTGGAGAAACGAAATGAACAACAATAAAAAGAAAAACACTCCTCCCTCTGCACCCCGAGGCCCGCCTGCGCCCCATCCGCGTGGGTGAGCACCAGGAAAGTCGAGGGTCCAGCCGGCGGCGGCAGCGGCGGCGGCGGCGGCGCCGAGCAGTCAGCAGGCCGACACCAGGCCCTTCTGGAAGGGACAGCGCCGCTTGGGCCGCGGGCCCTCCTCGTCCTCCTCCTCGTCGTCGTCGTCCTCCTCCTCCTCCTCCGAGGACGACGAGCTGTCCAGCGTCAGGTCCACCACGTCGGCTCCCGGCTTCCCGTTCTCAACACCGCCTGCCGCGCCGCCCCCGCCCCCGGCGCCCCCAAGCGCGCCGCCGCCACCGCCGCCGCCGCCACCGCCGCCGCCGCCACCGCCACCGCCGCCGCCGCCGCCGCCGCCGCCGCCGCCGTTGACGTTGGGGGCGGACAGGAGCCCGTTGGCGTCCGAGGTGCCTGCGGGCAACAGGGAGAGATGCTCAGAGAAGGCGCGCGGCGGCCGGTGAGGGGCAGGGGCCCCCCGCCGCTCCTCCGCCTCCACGAGCGCCACATGGTCCCCAGAGCCCCCCCCCCCAGCCGGGCTCCGGGGGCGTGGACTCACCAAGCACGAGGATGGGGCACTGCGGGCTGCAGCTACGCTCCTTTTCGGCGCGGATCGGGCACCACGAGCCGTCCACCAGGTACTCGATCTCGTCAGCATCCTCGCACTCGCTCAGGATCTTGGAGAGGAGCCTGGAGGGGCGAGGGGCTGACTCCTGGGCCGCTGTCTGCCCCCACCACCCCAGACTCAGGTGGGACACTCGCTAAATAAGCCCCTTCCTTCTCTGCGGCAGTGGTTTTAGGACAGCACCCACCAGGGGCCTGGGGGCCCGAGGTCCGGCGGCCCCGCGGGAGGGAGGGGCCTGCCCGCGCAGCACTCCGTGTGCCTACGGCCACCCCTCTGCCCCACGGCCCCCTGCCCTCCGGTCCCGGTCCTGCGCTGCCCCTCGCTACAGACGAGGCGCCAGGCGTGTACACGCCGTGCGCCCTGCTCACAGCGCCCCCCACCCCCCGGCCCCGGGAGAGGCCCTGGGGTGGGGCAGGAAGTAGAAGGGAGGCCACCGCGTTCCCGCGCACACGACAGCACCCCCGAGAGCACCCACCGCGAGCCCGGCCCAGCAGGACACGCCCTGGCACCGTTTCACTGAGGTACTGCCAGCCAGACCCATTTTACAGATGGAGAAACTGAGGCCCAGGGAGGGGTGGGAAGCTCCCCAAAGCCAATGAGGCCAGAAAGCAGGCCGCCTGGGCTCCATTCCTGGCCCTGGCCCTGCCCCTTCCCGGTCACCGGGCCTCCGTCTGCCCACCTCTGAGGCCTATGCAGCGTCCACCAACTCCAGCAGCCGGGGGGGCCCACGCCAGGCCAGGTCCTGTCCAGGGGACACACGTGCCGCAGTGGCAACGGGCCAATGTGGCCCCCGATATTTATTCCAGGTCAAAGCGGCACCTGCCTCCACGTAACTTCAACCACCTCAGACGCAGTCACACAGAAGTAAGGCCCTTTCCTGCTCCAGGACACCCCCCGGGGCCCCTCACAGACCCGCCACCCCGGGGTCACTCTGTGGTGTCAACACAGCTCCGCCCGTCATGGCCGTCTCCGCCGGAGCGCCCCTGTGCGCAGCCCGAGCAGTACGAGTGCCTCTGGCGGGCTCCCCACGCCCAGCTGGGGGTTCTCGGAAGGCAGAGTCTGCGGCAGAGTCCTTGAGGACCCCAGAATCACCCAGCTCAGGGCCAAGGGTGGGACAAAAGAGCATAATCCTCGAGGAAGCACACGAGTCAAGGACCCTGCTTCCAGGAAGCCTCCCTGGCTATGCCCAGAGCCCGTGGGATGCTGGGACTGTGCCGTGTGGGGCACAGCCACACCCCCAAACCCCAGGCCCATCTGCCCCCGGAGCCGTCGTCGGAGCTGCCGCCACTCGAGCCTGGGTGACCCGCTCTAGGCCTGTGGGGGTGGGGGGAGAGGCAAGCACGGGGCCACACAGCTGCCAGGCCAGGAACAGAGCAGCCATTCAGCCCTGACCCTTGTGCCCGGCCCCAGGGGCCTCCTCACTCCACCCCAAGGCTAGATGGCGTGGGGACACTGGGGCACGGCAGCTCAGCTCCTCCGGGGAGGGGAGCCAGGCTCGGAGCTGGCCAGACCCGGGTTCCAGTGCTGGCCCGGCCACCTGTGAGCTGCGCATGCCCAGGGCAGGTAACTGCCCCCTCTGAGCCTCAGTCTCCTCATCTGTAAGGTGGGGACGATCCAGACCCACCTGTTGGCACGGTTGGGAGGGACGGCTTGACAACAGCCCGAGCGCAGTGACCAGATGGAGGCAAGCACCCCAACGTGGGGACGGACTCACGCCAAGCCCCTGCCGGCCATGGGCCATCCCCGGGCCCACAGCACGCACCAATCCCATGCACACACTCAGCCCTCACGCACTGCCAGGCGCAGAGGGTAAGCACAGACCCAGCCTGGTGGCCGCATCTCCCCCACCCAAAACCTATCCCCCCCGCCCCTCCCCCAGCTCTGGGGACAGGACATGGGTGTGGCTGGCGCCTGGCAGGAGCTGCTTGGTCAGGTGTTGGGCTCGGTTTCTGGAAACCTAAGACCTGAGCAAAGTCTCCCTTTTGCGGAGAAGAGCCTTTTCCCCTCATCCCCGTGGCCTGGGGAGGGCTGACGCCGCCTGGGAAGAGGGCCACATGAAGAGCCGAGACCAGAGTCGGGGAGGCTGTGCTTTCCACCTCTCCGTACAGGCGGCGTACCAGCAGCGGTGCTGAACGCCATGTGGGGAGCAGCTCTCCGGCTCGCACAGCGGCCATGGGACTGGGCTCTCGGGGTCCCTGCTTCATGTGCGGAAAAGCAGACTCCGGGTCCGCGGGGTCACAAGCAACAACCGACCTCCTGGGCCCACAGAGCCTAAGCTAGCAGCCCCCGCCGGCACACAAAGGCCCCGGAGCCCCATGAGGAGGACATCTGCCTTCCCCGCGGCCAGGGCTTCCGAGCCACCCGCAGACCCCGGACAGTCAGGAGACCCAGGGGCCTCCGGAGTCGCGCGGCGTGGCCTCTCCTGCCACAGGGTGGGCGCAGGGAGGACAGGGGCTGCCCAGCGCCGCCCGGAGCCTCACCCGTCGATGATGAGCTGGTCGTAGGGGGCCGGCTTGTCGCACACGGGGCACATCCAGGTGGGCTTCTTCTCGTTCATCTGGAGGTAGAAGACGGCGTCGAAGCACTGCAGGTGGGCGCAGGTCTCTGCCCGGCAGGGCACCGACAGCCGCATCTTCACCAGCTGCGGGGGGGGGAGCGGGTGGCGTGAGTGGCCCCCCTGCCCCACCAGGCGGCCCCACGTGGCGGGCAGGTGGGGAGCGGAGGACGCGCAGCCCGACTCACCGGGCAGATGAGGGAGACCCGCACGCCGGTGGTGGCGATCTCGCTGTCGGGGTCCAGACGCAGCTTCTCTTTGACTGCGGAGAAGGGGGCGGCCGTTGTTAGCAGAAGGGACAGAGGCGTCTGCAGGGTCGGAGCCAAGATGCAGGCTTTTCCAGCTCCCATTGACGCCAGGGAAGGCAGCGGCAAGCACCCTCAACCCCTCCATCTCAGGGGGAAGACGGTCCACACACGGAGCACCCCAACATCCACCTCCCAGGATGACGAGATGTACGTTTTAGCTCCAGGGCCCAAGGCCCCGAGGGTCACCTGTGAAAGCATCCTGGGCAGGGGCCGGTAATTTCGGACGACCTGGCACGCCAACGGGGCAGGCTGACCTGACAAGCCCCCTCTGCTGCCCGTTTTCACAGCCCACGGGCCTCTTTTGGAAGAAAGATGAAGGCAACCGACAGCCGCAGACAGGGCTGTTCGCTGGGACTATGCGTCTACACCAACCATCCCGGAGGGCTCAGCGCGAAGGAAGACGGGCCGCTCCAGGACGGTCCTGGCGGCCCCGTTCCCGGACACCCCCAACCCTGGCAGGGGCAGGAGCAAGCCCATGAGCACGGCCTCTCGGGTGACCTGAAGCCAAAGGCCTCGTGGAAAATGCCCACGACAAGACACAAGGCCCCCTTCTTGCCGGTGCACACGGCTGCGAGAGAGACTGGGAGGAAATGTGTGCGAGCGAACCGTGGGGCAGGCCCACAAGGAGGGGGGCACAGTCTCCCTCCCCCTGGACGCTTGCAGGCTCGTCCTGCATTTGTTCTGCTCTCAGTGGGAATGGGGAGACTGGCTGACAGACCCCCAGAGGGCTCAGGACAGACTGACCTGGAGCTGTCCCTCCTTCCTCCATGAAACCCCTGCAGCCCCTCCTCCAGAAGCTTCCTCTTCCCTCCCACACAGGGTTGAGGGGGCCTAGGCCCGCCCCTCCCCCCAGTGTCCCGAAGGCCGCGTCAGCCGTTCACACCTTCTCATGAATTCCCACCTCAGGGCTCGCCTCTCTGGCCAAATGCCAGTGATGGACTCCGGTGCATCTGGTTTTGAAGCGAGGCCGCCTCCCCCGCCCCCAACAGAGAGAAGGTTGGGTGCAGCAAAAAGGCTGCAGGTGAGACAAGTACAGGACTTCCTGCGGCAACTAAAAATCCAGCAGCCAGCGACCCAGCCGGCGGGGGGCTTCCAAGAGGAAACTGACCCATCGGCACCAAGCAGGGGCCCCAGCGGTCCCACACACACCACCCCCTTTAGCCTTGTGGACCCCCGCCTCTCCCAGACTTCCGCCAGACCTCTGGGTGCCCTGCCCCCACCCCACGGGACTTGGCCTTGAGGAATCCCGCCTGGCCCCCACGCTGATGCCTGCTCCCTCGGTCAAGCTGGTCATTGTCCCTGCAGGGAGATGGGCAGGTGGGGGGCTGATTTTGAAGAAAGGGCTCTTTGAGGAAAAGGGAGGCAGTGAGGTGGGGTGCACGGGCGGGAGCCCTGCCACTCTGCACCTCAGGGTCCCCAGTGGTCAGATGGGGACATCGCCAAGTCCCTTGGCCCAGGACTGTGAGCATCTGGTGAGAAGGTGCAGTGACCAGAGAGGGTCAGTGACTTGCCTGAGGCCACACAGCCACCGCATGCACGGACACGAGACAAGGAACAGGACCGTCTTGGTGGTAGTTCACTTTCAATGCTCACTGTGTCCCCCCCACCGCCCCCAACACAGCTGGTCTGGTCTCAGGTTGGATTCCATCACTCCCCGGTACCTGCGGCTGTGAATTGGGTCTGCTCCTTCCCCCGTGTCCCTGGTCCCCACCCAGTAGTAAGAAGCATCGGCCTCCAGCACCCATCCCCCAGGATCTTTCCTGCCTCGCTGCTGTGGGGATGACCCGCGTGTGCTCACCCTGCCCACATGCCAGACCTGCCCCTGGCTCCCTGGGCTGGAGGGCCTGCCTCCCACGTCCCTGCCTCAGGGCTTCCGTGCTGGCTGTTCTGCTCCCCCTCCTTCCACATCCCCCGGGGTGACACACGGGCCCACCAGCTCACCCAGTGCCTTGCACAGCTCTGGATGCTTAACCCCAATGGTTTTCAACCTCTGCAGCAGTTCCGAAGAGGTCAGTTGCCGCACCAAGTACAAGGCCACGGAGTAACTCTGGGGACAGAGGTGGGGGAGGGGCGGTGAGGCCGAGGCGGGGCCTGCGGGGGGTGGGGGGGGAGGCAGCCCCACCCCACTCACCTTGCCGTAGTTCCCCCAGGTCACGGTGATGCGGTTGGTGGCCGAGGACAGGTACATGAGGTGGGTGAGGTTGATGGGGCGGCAGGGCCTCTTGGGTTCCACTCCAGGCTTATTGGAGGGGTAGTAGCCCTGGAAGCAGATGCGGGGGCTCACACCTCGGAAAGAGGTTCCATGGTGCTCTCTCTGCCCCACCCCCACAGTGGCCCAAGGCTGCGGGGGGGGGGGGGGAGGGGGGACCGCGGGTGGTGGGGGGCACTCACCGGGACCGAGCAGTAGCTGTGGTTGACCTTCACGGCGATGTTGGGTGGGTACTGGTCCTCCTGAGGGCCGCTGGTGTCTGAGTAGCAAATTCTGCAGTAACAACATGGACCGTGAGGCCAGCAGGGGCTCTGGCCAGAGGGGTGGCCCTGAGAGGCGGATGGGCACAGGGCCGGCGTGCAGGCCCCAAGGGCCGTCTCTGCCCAGCAGATGCATCGCCGTCCTGGACCGTACAAGGGGCTCTCGGGGCCCCAGATCTGGTCGGAGCAGGGCTGGGCGGTGATGTGTCCACAGGAAGGACGGACGGCAGGAAGAGAGGAGGGGCAGGCCTCCACCTCTGACCGGGGAGAGCCAGAGAAGCCGTCAGGAGGGAGGGGGCCCGACTGGGATGCACCTGGGCTGGACAGGGCAGGGCTACCGGCACCGGGGCAGTGGGCCGGCCCGGCTTACCTGAGGACGACCTGCACGGCCTTGATCCCGGGCTGCAGTTCTCTGCGCATGCCGAGGAAGCAGAGGGGGGGGGCGGTCAGTGAGGCAGGAGAGCACCCAGCATGGCACGCTGATCACGTCAGCTGCGCTAGCCAGACAGGTTCACCTGCCACCTCCCCTGGCAACCGAAGGTCTCTGGGAGCTGACTGAAACGTTCTCTCCTGTTTACTCACCGGCGACCTGGGCAGGTGACCTCCCCCTCTGTACAACTGGAGGGGGGGCGTCCACGCGGATATAGTTAATAGGTTGGGGGGTAGAAGCCCAGCATGTGCCAAGTGGGCAACAAACGGCTGCTCCAGACCGAAGGGTCTTGGACAGCAGACACCGGGAATGCCTCTGACCCTCAGCTGTTATGGCTCGGGGTCTCCATCAGGGAGATCCTGCCCCGGCAGGACCCCAGGCAGCGTCTGGGGGCGGCTAGAGCCATCACAACTAGGGGAGTCCTGCCATCAAGTGGGTAGGGCCAGGGATGCCGCTCAGCCCCCCACAGTGCCCAGGGCGCCCCCCCGAAGAGGGATCCAGCCCCGATGTCAACAGTGCCAAGGGGAGCTCTGTTAAAGCGGGGACTGCGGATCAGAGGCAGTGAGAGCGTGCAGACGGGGCGCACTGCCCAGTACACACGGCAGGTGCCGAGCACAGGGCGGGGGTGGGGCTTCCCCTCCCCCCACCGCGGAGTGCAGGGTCCACATCGGGTCTGCAGAAGGCTCCCCTAGCCCGGCCCTCTAGATGGCCCAACACCATGCTGGTCCACTGCCTGCCGCGGAGGCCCAGCAGGGGTGCAGGGCACAGCGCACCTGGAGTTCCGGATCAGCTCCACTTGCCTTGGCGTCAACGCAAAGATGCATGGGCTCTCCTGAAGCTTCTCGTTATTCTGTGGAACTAAACACAAACTCAGGGTCAGGGTGATGTCTGGTCCCCAGTAAGGGGGCCAGCCACACCCATTTCCAGGGGCCGGACCCTCCTCAGACCCGGAAGCAGGGAACAGGAGGCTGAGCCTCACCCTGGCAGCCAGGCCTGTGGGATGGAAGCAGGGCCACTAGGGATGAGGGTGCAGGGGAAGCCCAGCCCTTCCTGGTGCCACACCACAGCCTACGATTCAGGGAGCATCCCTAACCCCGGAAGGGCCTCTTGGGAAGCAGCAAACTTCTTAGCCCTCCAGGGTTTAAGGGTCGCTAAGGAAAACAGAAGCGCTCAGCCTGGGCACCTGGGTGGCTCAGTTGGTTAAGTGACTGCCTTCGGCTCGAGTCATGACCCCAGAGTCTTGGGATCGAGTCCCACATCGGGCTTCCGGCTCAGCAGGGAGCCTGCTTCTCCCTGTGACCCTCTCCTCTCTCATGCTGTTTCTCTCTCTCTCTCTCTCAAATAAATAAATAAAATCTTAAAAAAAAAAAAAAAAAGCGCTCAGCTCACGGAGGAGCCTGCCGGGCCAGCAGGATGCAGTGGGACAGACTGCATGCCCTTGGGCCAGCTGCTTCCCCTGGAGCCTGTAAGATGCCAACAACTCTGTCCCCACCTCACACGACTGTTCTGGGCACCTGGCAAGCGTGTGCCTGTCTGTGTGGTGCTCGGCAAAGGCCCTGCAAGGCACTGCTGGAGGGGACAGGGACAAGCTGGACAGAGGTCCTGCCTCGGGCATTCATGGCCAGCAGAGGAGGTAGGCAAGTGAAACAGCCCTGAACCTCCAAGTGCACAAAACAAGAGTCACGGAGCAGCCCGGCTCACAGCAGGGGACACAAGGAGGGCAGCGGGGGCACCACACACGGAGCCACACTAGCCATCCCAAAGTGCCCACTGGGGCGCAGAAGTAGAGCAATGTCTGCCAGGGGATGGAAACCATGGTGGTGACAAGCGGGCTCTTCACAATTATAACTGCATCGAGAACCCCAGGGGTGATCAGAAAGTCCCTGAACTAAATGAGAATATACAGTGCGCCAAAACTTGGGGGAAGCAGCTAACATAGTCGTTTGGAAGCAAAATCATAGCTTTAAAATGATTCTATTAAAAAAGACAGAAAAAGGTTTCAAATGAAGGCCTTGCATTTCCTCAAGAAACTAGAAAAAAGAGCAAATTAAAGCTGAAGTTAGAAGAAAATTAAAAATAAAAATAGAAAGTCAGCAACAGAGACAATAATCAGGCCAGCCTTCTTTGACAAGCTAACTAGAATAAACAATAAAAAAGACCATAAGCACACCCACTGCCACAAATAAAAAACGGACAGTAGTGCAAATCCTAGTCTTTTGGTTTAATACAGGAACGAAACCAACAACCTCATGGCAATAAATCTGACAATTTAAATGAAATAGACAAATTCTTCCAAAGTTGCAAATTACCAAAACCAGCACCAAAAAATATAAGAAGTTTGAGAAGCCCTTTATCAGTTAAAGAAGCTAAATTCATAATTAAAAACTTTTCCATAAGGAAAACTGCAGATCCAACTGGTGAGTTCTACCTAATATTTAAGAAACTGTATAAACTTTTATGAACTTTCAGAAAATAAAGAAGACAACAAGCAACTCACTTTACAAGGCTGACGCGACCCTGATACCAAAACCTGACAAAAACATATCAGGAAAAGAAAATTACAGATAAACATCCCCCATGAATACAGACAGAAAAACTCTTTAGAAAATATCAGCAAAGGGGCGCCTGGGTGGCTCAGTCGTTAAGCGTCTGCCTTCGGCTCAGGTCATGATCCCAGGGTCCTGGGATCGAGCCCCACATCGGGCTTCCTGATCAGTGGGGAGTCTGCTTCTCCCTCTCCTGCTCCCCCTGCTTGTGTTCCTGCTCTCGCTCTCTCTCTGTCAAATAAATAAATAAAATCTTAAAAAAACAAAAACAAAAACAAAACCAACCAACCACCCTGAAAAGCCACCTGATCAGAAGACTGGATGAGACATGGCTGGCAGGAGCGAAAGCCTCTGGGGAGGGCAGGCCGTCTTGCACAATCTGCCAAAATCACCAACACACAACGTGGACACAGCGGCCCCTCTGTTCTAAGAGCCACAACTGCAGACATGCTCCCACACACAGGATGACCGAGGCCCACGGACAGCCATTACTCAGAATGGTTTCCAACGATGGCTGACAACCTAAATCTATGCCCACCGACCTAGTCTGAAGATGCACTCCGGAGCAGCTTACAAAGGAATACTACGCAACCCTGACACAGATAGCAAAGGATCCAGAAGCTCTTCACGCTCTGATAAGGACAATAAGGAGTAACCTCTGAGATGTTCTTGTCAGGTAAAAGCAGCTGGTGCGGGCAGGTGTGCATCACACCCGGACTCGTGTCACCGACAGAGGGAAGGGTCTGCGTAAGTGCAGGTCTGCTCATCTGCACAAGAGACATCTCTGGGTTGGGAGCCCCCTGAGAATCAGCCACAGTCACTGCCTCAGAGTGACTGGGAGAGGCTAGAAGCCAGCTTTCTTTGTACTGCCAACCCTTCCAACAGTAGTGTGCATGCTGTTCCTATGAAGGGCTGGAGCATAAATAATTTTGGTTTTAGTAAGACACATGGTCTCTGCCTCAACGTCCCCACTCTGCCTTGTACCATGAAAGCCACCAGGGAGAGTAAACAGACAAATGGGTGTCGCTGTGTGTCAATACAGCTTGATTTAGGAAAAAAGGCTGCCAATGAAATTGGCCCCTGGCCCTAGTCGGCCAACCGCTGTTCCAGAACCTTCTGAATTCCAAACCACAACAGCAGGTAACCTATTTAAAAAGCAAACACAGGGGCGCCTGGGTGGCTCAGTCGTTAGACGTCTGCCTTCGGCTCAGGTCATGATCCCAGGGTCCTCGGATCGAGTCCCGCATCGGGCTCCCTGCTCAGCGGCGAAGTCTGCTTCTCCCCTTCCCCCTGCTCATGCTATCTTTCTCGCTCACACTCTCTCTTTCAAATAAATAAATACAAATCTTTTTTTTAAATTTTATTTATTTATTTGAGAGAGAGAATGAGAGAGAGTATACATGAGAGGGGGGGAAGGTCAGAGGGAGAAGCAGACTCCCTGCCGAGCAGGGAGCCCGATGCGGGACTCGATCCTGGGACTCCAGGATCATGACCTGAGCTGAAGGCAGTCGCTTAACCAACTGAGCCACCCAGGCGTCCAAAAAATACAAATCTTTTAAAAAATAAAAATAAAAAAAAAGTAAAAAGCAAACACAATTCGGATTTGAAACCAGCTCAGACTCAGAAGCCAGACCACCAGGTTCATAACCCAGCTCTGCCTGGGGCACACATCCCTACCCCCACCCCAGGCTGGGTGCCTTCCGTCCCCAGGACCCAGTTCTCGGGGCGCAGAGCTGGGCATGAGGCTGGAGCTCAGCAAGAGGAAGCTGCTGTAACCACCAAGCTGCCGCCACCAATTCACGCTTGTTTGCCGAGGGCCTGGCGAGTCCCCGTGCGGTCCTGGTTGGCACCCTTGAGGAGGGCCGTTGAATTGGCGGGGGGGGCCCCACAGGCCACCTGTAGACATGCCCAGACCTGCCCTAAGAGCCAAAGGGCAATTATTTTCGATGGGGCAGGGCGGGGGGGGGGGTCTCACCATACCCAAGCTGGGCTGCAGCGGCTGAGCGAGAAGCCGATCCCACCTGCTGGCCAGGGAGCTCCGTCCCCAAAAACAAGGCAGGCAGGTGAGCGCTATCATGGGAGGCCAAGAGTCTGGGGGCCCTTCCAGGACTCCCCCTCCTAGATGACACCACCATGGGGACAGCGTTCACATTTTCTGCTGTGCCATGGGCCCCGGGTGGCTGACTTCCCTAAGGAAGCCAAGTGGCCAGTGGGAGGTGAGCCGCCCCCTTGGCCAGGACACAGCATACCCTACACTGTAGGAGGGAGGTGGGGGTCCCCCAAACCCAAGCCTCCATCGTCCACTGCCAATGGCAGCTCCACCCTTTTGGCTGTTCAGGGTTGGGCTGTGGGCAGCATCCACGACTCTCGGCACCCCCTGACTCCCCAGCATCAATTCCCAGTTGGCTCCAATTTCAAAACACACTAGCGAGGTCCCTCTCCCACCACCCCTACCCCTCTGATCAGTACACTGACCCCTCAATGGCCCCCTGGCTCCCCCGAGTTCACCACCTGCCACTTGAGAGATGCTGTCCCCACCCCTAGTGGCCCTGATTCCCAGGCCACCTCCTTGTGTTCCCCAAGTGCCAAGAACATCCTGCCTTGGGGCCTTTGCACTCAACATCCCCTCGTCCAGAACGTTCCTCCCCCAGCTACTCAGACGGCCCTGATGTCTCTGAAGTCTGCCCAAACTCCACCAGAACGACAGACTTCCCTGAGCGCTTTTATTTAAAAACTGCAAGCCCCCCCACAGCCCCCTGCAATCCTGGTACTGCCTGTATCTCCTTGCCCACTCGGTTTTTCTCTAAAACTTTTACCTCCTAAGAATCAACACAATTTCCCAGTATCTTTGGCTCGTCATGAACACTGAACCAACCCCAAAGTACCTCTGCCGTGTCACACAGGCTGCCAAAAAGCCATGGGGGCCCCGCGTGGGCTAGGACGAGGTACCCACCCCAGGCCTCAGAGCCCCCCAGGGACTAAACGTGGGGGAATCCCCTGCTCCCAGGCCTTCTGGGAGGACTGGGAACCAGCCTCCAGTTCAATCCAAGACACTAACAAAGGAGCCCAGCATGACCATCTCTACCCTGGCTGCCAGGCCACCATGCAAACCACCACCGGCAGAGAACATGATATGGGGGGCATGGGGGGAGGGTAAAACAGTAATTAGGACACAGCCACCGTTCTGGAGGGTCACACGTGCAAAAAAAAAAAAAAAAAAAAAAAACAACAATCTCTGGGTGACATAAACAAGCCCAGACCTCCAACAGAGGCCTAATCCTATTTTCTACAACACACACACAATTTCACAAA